GCGTTCCTCAAGGATGGGGAGATGCTCGAATGCGACGCGCCGCAGGCATTGCTGGGACGGGATTGCAATTTCCGGCAGCTATACCGAGCCTGGGAGAGAGCATAGATTTAGGTTATGTTATTATTCCATATGATAGCTTTTATTGGACCGATAACAAACCTTGGCAAATGTGTCGCCGCTGTCTGGGACGCTTAGGGTATCGGTTCTCATCCAGCCAAGAAGTGCGGGTTGCAAGTCTGTCGTGTTGGCAATAACGGTTGGGCGAGTGTTTATCGGCAGGCAGATTGCCGCAGGCATTGGCTATCGATAGGATCGTCCGTCGTTACTATTGCTATCTGGCTTGGCATCTTATGCCTATTTCTATGTATGGGAAACATGATTGGCTTTGCTCTATCTCTAAGTCGGATTAGCCGAAGTAGCCAGGCAGACACTTGGTGGACAGCCAAGGTGGGGAGTGAAAATCTTTGACAAAAGCAGCACTGTAGGAAGTAGCGACCACGTGGGACACAGCAATTAGGGTCTCCATCTCAGCGGCCAGATTTCGGTCGGAAGTAACCCTGTGTGATGCTCAATGGATCACTTCTCACTGGATGGATGTTCTCCTCGAGAGGGGACTATCGAGTGGCGCAAGACCCTATCCCGATGGACAAATGGGTCAATGGTGGTCTGATACAGCACACCTGACCAGTTCCATATTAGTTCAGGGATTGAAATTGGCCAGGAATCCTGGCTCGAGTGCCTTCGTCCATTTCCTTGAACAGGACAAAGGGTTGCACCAATCCTCCGCGAGAGAGAAGAACAGGGACCTGGGTAGTCGCACTGGTGTCGCCACTAGCGCGGGGGCGTGCCACTTCGTTGAAATGCATGGATGGCGAGCTGAGGTGTGCTGCAGGAGCTCCGTAGGAGTTCCGACACCTGAACGGATCCCCTTGGCTCTTGTTTTCTCTTATCGCGCCCAGCATCGAACTTCCTCTGACCGGGAGGCCTATCATTCCCTCTGCCTATCTGGATGCGCCTGTCACGCCCTAAGCCTTATCAACTGTTCTACCGGGCCCCTCAATATATGCATGAATGTACTAGAGTGAAGAAAATCAGGGTAGTAATTGATGTTCCAGGTACTGGATACCCCTGCACCCCTCGAAAATCAAAAGTGCTACATATTGCTTGGGGCGAAATTGCCGCTACGGAATGGCGTCAGCAGCACACGCGATGGCATCTCCAGCAGCCCTTCAAAGATTTTACAACACGCGCTACAGTTCATTCGGATGTAACCCGGATAGCCAGGCGATTTCCCGGTAGAATTACATGCTTTCGGTTCATTCCTGCACCAATGGTGACCCGAAGGAGGGTGGACTAGCAGGTCGGTTATCTAAACTCGGTCCTTCGCTAGGTGAGGGGAACGAACGTCAATTGGAGGGCTCGGAGGCGTTCGAGAAGAAGTGAGTCCACCGGCGTAGAGGCCGGAGCGTTGTGCATCCAACGACCCTCTCACTCGATTCCCCTAGCCCTGTCGCAGGGCCGCCTCTCAGTCCCTTTTCAGCAAGATGGCTAATCGCCGTGGTTTGTGGTATCATCGATTCACTCGTGGCATGGCTCCCATGGCAATTCACCCTTATCGGGGTGATAATATAAATAGACCCCTAGGGACCACCTTGTGGCAATGATTTCTCCTCCCCGTGCCTCTGGAAAAGTGAGCCCCCTGCCAGTATGTCTGCAATCACGACCGGTGCAGCCCGAGAGGGTGACGGCGTCTCAATCCCCCACCCAGATGCTGTCGATGAAAAGTCCGCTGTCACGGTGCTCGCTGGCAAAGAAGACCACAAGATCACTGGTGATGAGCTGAGTGGCGAAGAGGACCGCGAAAGCGAAGACGCCATTATTATCACTGGTGCAGACGCTGCCGCTCACCTGCTGCCACTCAGGGATGACTTCGACAGTGCCTTGACATTTCGGAGTATCATTCTCGCCTCCGGTCTGGCGTGCTTCCAGGCGGTCATGAACCAAATCTACATGGTAGCACAAGACACCTTAGCCGTTGTGCAGATGTGTTGACACCCTGCTGACACCTGTCCACAGTTTAAACCTACTGCCGTCACCATTCAAGGCACTTTCATCGTCCTGATCGCTTACTTTGTCGGCAATGCCTGGGCCAGGTTCCTCCCCCGGGGTGATAAGTTTGAGGCTCGTTGGAGGGAGAAGGGTGGTCAGGGAAAGCTTCCATGGCATATAAGGTGGATAAAGTTTGTGAATCCTGGACCGTGGACTCTGAAGGAGCACGCTATTTGCGCTATCACAGCCACATCTGCTTCCAATGCCTCTGCATCCTCGGAAGTGTTTGCGGCACAGAACCTCTTCTACAATATGTCCTTTAGTGCCGTCACTGTCATCTTCAGCACCATTTCGATCGGTCTGTTCGGTTATGGTCTTTGTGGCATTATGCGACCTATTGCCGTCTGGCATGTTGAGGCGGTCTACTGGAGTACTCTTCCTACTGTCAAGACCCTTCAAGGGTTGCATTGGCAGCAGGTCAAGAACTCCAAGCCGCTCCGGTACTTCTGGTATGCCTTTACTGGCATGTCGTTGTATGAGATTATTCCTGCATACATATTCCCGTGGCTTAACTCCGTTTCTATTCCGGTACGTTGTTCATTCCACCTTTGGTGTGTAAGGGGGTACTAACATAGCTCTAGTGTCTAGCTTCCCAGAAAGCAACCGGCAAGAAGGGTGCTGTACTCACCAATGTTTTCGGCGGAGCCACTACGAATGAAGGAATGGGTTTATTCTCTCTCAGCTTCGACTGGCAATATGTACGGATGATAATTTTTTTTTATCAACAATATCTCAATGCTGACTTGTCGCAGATCACCTCCTTCCAAACCTCCCTTCCTCTCAAGCTCCAGCTTCACCAGGACATCGGTATCGCCTTCTGCTTCATCGTCATGGTAGCCATATACTACGGAAACGGCTGGAACGCCCGATCCCTTCCATTCATGTCCACGGAGCTTCTCATGGCGAATGGTACTTCGTATCCAGTCTCCAGCGTCTTCCCCGACGGCGTGCTCGACAAATCTGCCTTGGCTACATACGGTATACCCAGGTTAACTGGAACGTTTGCCTATGCTATGTTCATGGCCAACGCTGCTGTAAGTTCGCCAGGAATATGTGCAAGTCAATCCAGCTAACCTCTTCTAGATCGGAGCCCTCATCATGCACTGTATCATCTTCTGGGGCGGCGATATCAAGCGGGCCTACCAGAGCGCCAAACAAGGTCGCTACGACGATCGTCACCACGAGCACATGGCTAAGCATTACAAGGAAACACCGTGGTGGTGGTACGTTGCGGTGCTTGTCATCAGCTTTGTTCTCGGACTGGTGGTGGTTCTCAAGGAGAACATCACTCTTCCAGCCTGGGCGTACATTGTCTCATTAATCGTGGGAATCATCATCTCGCCTTTCGTAAGTACCCCCATAACCGACACTCCTACTCCCACTAACAAAGGTATTCGCAGAGTACCATCCTCTACTCTCGCTACGGAAACGGAATCGCGACCAACAACCTCTCAAAGATGTTAGCAGGACTGATGCTCCCCGGGCGCCCCGTCGGAAACATGTACTTTGCAGCGTGGTCCCACAACGTGATCTCCAACGCAGTAAACCTATCAAACGACCTAAAGATGGGTGAATATCGTAAGCAACCTATTCGACAAATCCCTCAATGACCAACACAAGATCTAACCCATTCCAATAGTGAAAATCCCACCACGAGTCATGTTCCTCACCCAAATCTACGGCACCATCCTGGGCGGCTTCATCAACTACGCCATCATGATCTCCATCGTGACCGGCAACAAAGCCCTCCTCTCCAATGGCAACGGTAACTCCTCCTGGAGCGGTGCCACCATGCAATCCTACAACACCAACGCCGCCTCCTGGGCCCTTGCCTCCTACCTCTACCGCTCCGGCACTCCCTACGCCATGGTTCCCATCGGTCTAGCCATCGGCGCCGCAGCTGTCGTCGCCCACCGTCTCTTCTACTACGTATGCCTATTTTCCCCCCAATGACCCCCATCTTACCACCCACCCCAACTAACTCATCTTTCTTTGAATCTATACAGTTCGTCCCCAAAATCCGCAACTTTGACGTCTCCGAAGTCAACATGCCGCAATTCATCCAATACGCAGGCTACATCCCCTACAACCAATCGCAAACATGCGTGCTCTTCAGCTGGGTCCTCTCAGGCCTCTTCGTGCAGTACTATCTGAGGAACTATCATCCGAGGATCTTTAAGGATTACTCGTATTTGATTACGGGTGCGTTTGATGGCGCTAGTTTGACCATCGTGTTTATTTTGTCTTTTGCGGTATTTGGGGCTGCGGGCGTCGCGCATGATTTTCCCTCTTGGTGGGGCAATAATTCTAATGGGAATTATGATTGGTGTCCTGTTACTTAGCATGCCTTTTTTCTTAACCGGAGGAAGAAGTTGTTGGATGGGGTGGGATGGGATGGAATGGGGAGGTGGAGGGGAGGGGGAAGGTGTGGATGTTCATAACTCTACTCTGTCTTTTGTATGTAGTACATAATTTTCATTAGGGGTTTTGATGAATGAATATATTTATATGGGTGGTTGAGGTTAGTTGATTGGAAGTAGCATTCTCCTATATTAGTAATAGAAGATGTCTGTTCTTGTGGAGATCGAAAGGGTGATGTGGGATTAGTATATATATTCCTCAGTTAGTAGTTGGTATTGTGTTGAATTGGTCTCAATTTATCGTTAAGGATATATAAATAGGGTGCGATAAAGATAAATATTTATCTGGTACTTACTTACTTTCTTTCTCCTTGAAATCCAGAGCTAGAGGGCAGACACACACACATATATATACATATAAGCAATCATTTCATCATCACAATATTGTCAATTGAGACGGACCAAATCTTGAATTTGAAGATGCTTATAACCATAAAGAATTCCCGCTTAGATAGCCCATAATATGTGCATATTAGCCTCTCTCATAGGCAGTGTCCATCTTATTAAGTTTCCCATTTTCAATGGCTTGTGGATATAACTACGAGTCCCTCAGATCTCTGTCCCTCTTAACCATGTATGAGTTCATCTGCATATTCTTCACCCTCTCATAGCCGACCCGCGGCACCCTACCCCAACACATATTTCGAAAAAAAAAAAGAAAAATTACTTAACAGAAAGTACCAACCAGTACCTCGAGGAGGCCCGCTATATGCATAATTACCCTACCTAGAAATGCAATGTTCATCACCGATACTCCGCCAACTCATGCTTGGGCCCATTATTCGACGGTAATTCCACAGGCGCAGACTGGCCATCTAATTCACTCGCTGGTGCGGAATATGGCTGTTGAGTCTGACTGTAGGCGTATGCCGAGTACTGAGGACTAGGGTCTTGTGGTTGGAGATGCATCTGTGTTTGCGACTCTGGTCGTTGCTTATTGTGCCGTCGCAGGAAGTAGAAAAGAAGGCCGGCTATTGCTGCGACGCCGGCGACACCGCCGACGACGCCTCCGGCTATTGCGCCCGTGTTGGTGCTTGAGCCGGAACCGGTGGATGATGCTGCTGTGGTTGTTGCTGCTGATGCTGTGGTGGTTGATGCGGATGTGGATGTGGGGGCTGAAGTTGCGGTTGAGGAGGCTAGGAAGGGAGGGTTGTATGTTAGGAATGGATCTGAAGGTATCTATCTATCTGTCTTGTAGGGTAAAATAAACTCACTTGTTGCGATCAACCTCAAGGCGCTGTAACTGGCATTGCCCGGCGAATCGGGACTCAAGCAGCCCACCCAGTCTGTCCCCTTGAGTCTGAATCCAGTCTCGTCTTTAGTGCAGCAGAAATACCCATCGTAGTCGTACATATTCCAGGAGCTGTTGGCGCAGGTGGCAGGTTTGATCTCGGAAGTGCAGTCCGTCCAAGTCGGACAGCAGACATTGTTCTGAATTGAGTACTCTTTTCCGGGACATTTTGACCCGGATGGGCAGCAAGCGTGCCAGGTTTCCCATGTTGGTCCGCATCCGACTTCGTCGCTGAGACATGAATTATTGCGACGAATGGCGTAGCCTTTGATGTTCGAGGTAGACATGGTGGTAGTAGGTTTAGTGAATGGCACTGGCACTGGCACTGGATCTGCGTAGGGGACGGTAAAGGGCCGAGGCAAGGCGCATTCTCGGGGCCGAAAGGATGAGAGAAGAAAAATCGAGGAAGTAAGGGGACGAGGCTGATTATTTTGTCGAATGCGCGCGGACCTGCTTGTCAGACGCATTTCGCTTATTCATCTCCAAAAAGCGATCCTGATTCCTGGGGGCCCTTGGCTTGCCCTAGTTTGATTGGGATCATCTGCTTTTGGGTAGAGATACGAACGGGCACGGGCCTTGGATGTTTCTGTGCCGATCAGGGTCCACAGTGCGGGATGGAGTGTGTGTTGTTTCGCCAATATGCAGAGTTTTGCTTTATATGAAAACGGGGGAGTTGCTGTCAATTGCACGTGTATAAATAACTCCGGTCAGCATGATTCATGGTAGCTAAACTAGACGACTGCTGGGTTATGCTGAAGGTGGAGGGTTGGAAGTCAGTGTAGACATCGTATGAGGAGTCCGATGGATAGCACACTGCGGAGCGGCAAGGCAGGTAAGCAGAACGTGTGAATTTATCATCCGGTGTGTGTGTAACTCGAGGCATTTAAGAGTCATCTGCTGCTCAAGTTCAAGCATCTTGATATATGTACTTTGTTTACTCTCCTGATTCACTGCCATTGAGCAATGACCGATCTTTGTTGAGCAGTAAATCTTTTCTGCAATGACACAGTTATCTAAGCTTCCAACTCGCCGACTCACTTGGGGTAGACAAGCCCCACTTTGAATGATCATGAAGCCAATTATGATCCGAGTTGGAATGGAGGCACGCGAACAGAGGAACACAGCAACATCCCTGAAAAGGGACCACGTCCGTGCACAATGGGTCGTCCCGCTTTCCCCCGTTTGGCATCGGATTGTCCGAGAAGAGGCTCTTTGGATTGTGCTGGATAGCCGAATCAACCGTTCGAGGCGAAACAGCTATGAGGAACATATACGTTCGTTTCATTATCCATCGGTGACAGGCTACCATTATCACTCGTCTCAGATCCGTTATACTGGTATGGATGCTGAGTATGAGCGGATAATATATCCGTTCATCACAACGTGGGTTCGACAGAGGATGTGTATTTTCAACTGACCTGGCTATATCTCCCTGACCGTTGTGAATCACTCAAATGCCTGTGTCAGATTTGCGATTCATCTTAGGGCTTTGATGCCGTGATAAGTGCCAGTAAGAGAGGAGTACGACTTCGTCAAAGTATTGGGATGCGGTGCGGGATGTCGTTAGAAGGGTATCGACGTAGCACACTTGCATGTAACTCGATGTCTCAGTATGTCACATCCTCTGCTTTGCTGAAGGGTGCACACGGACACGATCGGGATATCTGAGCTGGCAGCCCGTATATGCCTCATTCATCCAGGCTACCGATCGCAAACATTTGTTCAACATACTCGTCTCGGTAAAAGGCTGCACCCGGCAGTACGGGTAACATCAGGCTGACTGCAAGGATTTACGTAGTTGTTGGTCTCTCACCGGCCGTCTCCTAACCCGGATAATAACAAGGAATTCGGATGGCGCTATGGATAAGTTGTGACGCATGCCTCGATACCAACTCACAAAGCATAGCCGGGGCACAGACCAGCAATGAATGTAGCTGACTGGGTGGGACGGTCTGAATGACCAGGATATAGACGGTGGCCTGCCTTGGGTCGTGGTACAAGTCTGAGCCTCCACCCGGGATGGTCAACGTTGGAGCGGGTACTGATGCTGAGTCTGGAGCTGGGATGTGTGCACCACTGATACGCATGTGTCACTCGCCTCTGCGTGCTCGAGTTTGAGGGATCTGTGTCTGTGTTGCTCTTGCACGGCAACTCGATCTCTGGACTTTCCAAGCTTGGACACTCGCGGATGGTCATTGCGGCTGTAGTATTGTCCCCGTTGAGATTACAAGCCTTGCCGCTAGGTGAGCTTGTATAACCACGGGATGGTCGAGGCTTCGTAGATATTCGGGGACATTGGTCCTGGTTTGTTACACGCATAGGTCCCAAGCTCTTGCGCAATTTGGTAGGTCGGAGCTGGCAGGTAACTGAGTCGGGATACAGCTTGATCACAGAAATGCGTGACGTATGGTCAACCTCCAGGAATGGTCCTTCAGAGACATTGTTTTTGACAATTCATCGTGACACTGGCTGATGTCGTCATTGTTGGGGCTGTGTATCCTTGAGAAGCTTGTCGATTAGCTGTGGGTGATTGGGTATGCATTCAGCCGACGGACTAGGTATGCAGCCTTATGGAGAGGAAAGGGACTGCTACGCCACACAGCGTCAATTCCAACCACTCCGATATCAAAATCGACGATGAGGAAAATGCAATTTATTCGTACAGATCTGAAAGTGCAAGGATATCCAAGGATCTATTTTCCGAGTCGACCCCTGTTTGCAGTGTAAGGCTGAGAAACTGCGATGATTGGGTAAGTGGATCAGGTGGAGCGACCGAAGCTTCCGAACCAAAAATTTTTTCCAGTGGCATCGCCCACCACATGCGAATCTTCAAAATGCAAAAAGAGAAGCCCAACGCGGGGCTCGAACCCGCAGCCTTGAGATTAAGAGTCTCACGCTCTACCGATTGAGCTAGCCGGGCTAGTTCGGTGAAGGAAACATTCTGTACACGGAATAAGACGGCGACAACAGCTACAATTCCTGTTACGATTACTATCAGATGGTGTCTTTGAGCCTCTTTGCGCTGTTGTCAACAGAAGGTATGGGGAAGGTTGGCGCCTAATGAGTGGCAATCGCAAGGCAGACGTCCATATTGAGCATGGTGGGTACGCCCATTATGAGACAAGCTATCCCGGGCTTCACCAACACTCGTTATATATATCCGCCGTAAGCATTGGCTCTCCCGGGCCTTCCCAACTGACCATCATACCCAGTGAATAGACGCGCTGGAGCCTAGCAGGCTGAGAGACCGTGGTCTGAGATGCAAAAATAAGCCGCAGGGTGGACACCATGCGCATGCTCGTCATGCCCGTTGCGCCATTATCGATCCGACATTCACAAGGCAGTCCCAAGGGACTGGTACGGTCGCTGTAGCCTGAAAAAGCGAGGGACATGGTGAACAGTAGTACAGCAAAAACGGAGAGCTGAAACGAAAACGAGCCTCCGGGAGAGCTGGCGTCACCGCGATAGGATACGAGGTGACGATTTCCTTGCGCGCGCGTCAAGCGAAACGAAAAGTCAGAACCGATCGGACGGTCGATCAGTGATGGAAGGCATAGAACCATCAGCACTTGCAGGATGCATAATCGCACGCAGATACCTCGTGGGTTGAACTGTGGCTGTAGCGCCGGAGTGGCAGAAAGGAACGCTCTCGGCCAGTCATCCTGTGGCTGAGGCGCAGCAGAGTATCGAGACACATGATCTCGATGATTTCATGGCTGCTAGCGTAAGGGGTAGTCTGGGGCTCAGACATCTCCTTATCACGAAGTTGGCGATCATGGGGCTGCTCGTATTGGATCGCTGGGGAAACAGGTTCGAAACACCTATTCTTAGCCGGTCGCGATCGCGGCAAAAATAGAATAGAAGCGATCGAGAGAAAGCCAATATTGTAGGTTACCAACAGAATGGAACCGAGCCATCTCTCGTCTCAGATAATGCGGGTCAAAGGAGAGAGCGGCTGCATGGCTAATGAGCATTGGCATGGACATGGGAGAGTTAACGCGTGAAACGGACTACCGCAAGGATGGATACTGACCAACAATGGGCGGAGGTGAGATGGGGATGCTGACGGTCCCTGAAAGACTGGCGGATTATGGTGTCATGAACTAGGGGAGTTCGTGTTGAGAGACCAGAGAGGAGGAAAGGTGGCTGCTACTGGCGTGCGGCTTAGTTTCTAGACACGAGGAGTCAAGCCACAGTTGGGCTGGCCACATCTGGAAGAGCACTTCATCATTCGAACTTTAACCCGATGACTCGACCCTTCCCCGACCCTAAAACGGGTATAGTACTCCCCTCCTGGACTGGTTGAGTCGGTCATTGCTAACTGTGTTGTGTCTAGTGTGTCCACTTGCCATGACCATTCTGTCCCCGAATGGAGTCACAGGGACTGGTTAGTCTGACAGGAGGGGGTTGCTTGGGACCATGTTAGGGCCAATCATGAAAGCGGGTGAGGAGCGAACGGGTTGCAACAGGCGCCGGACCAACAACAAACTACTCTGTACAAGTTAAGAGGATCAGCACTGCCTGCTTTGCACCAGCCACACTCCCCATGTCTAGTAGTTATTACTTAGTGTATTAGTACTAGTCCTAAGTCGTCCTGAGGCAGGCTCCCGTTGAGCCTTAGCAGTCACCCGCAGGCTGCCATTCCCTCCACCACAGTTTCTTACTGTTTGCTAAATTCCGAAAAAAGAAGTTCAGAAAAAATCTCCATGTTGCTAAACTTTTTTAGTCTCTCCGCCTGTGACCCATTCGTCATGGCTGCTCTAGCGCCCCCGGGGACCACTGTCCCTCTGCTCTAACATTCACTGTATGCCAATCATGGATGCCTTCCATCCTCCTCAACTATATAACTTCCCTCTCCCACCCCCCATTAACCTCCTCTCATTCACTTATTCACTACACACTTCTCTCAACCATCCATACATATAATCCACCAAGAGACTTCTACATCTCTACTACTCACAACTTCATCGCGCTTGAACAAGCCCAAACTACCTTGTTATAGTCCTCGTGATCCATCCGCCAGTCACGCTGTCGCCCTCCAAGTCTCTCCGTTTCTGGCCCCCCTTCTACTACTCCATTCAGGAGACTCTTCGAATTGAAAGACCTCGTTATCGCACTCGAACACCCCTCCGTCGTTCAGCAACCATGCCTGCTCCTATCGAGCAGCCCTCCGAGCCCGTCGTGCTCGTGCGCGACCCCGAGGACGATGAGAGCTATGTGATCTCTGCCTACGAAGGCCACGCCGACCACTGTACTCGCTGTGCAGACCCGATGACCGCGTACGAAGAGAAGCGCTCGCTGTGCAAGCGTGGTGCCCAGTATGCCCGCGACGTGACCGAATACCTCCGCAGCAAGAACGGAAAGATCTACTCCGTTGTTGACCTTGAGCGCAACCGATACACCCTGGTCAGGGTGCCCCTGAAGTGCGTCGCTGTTCGCCAGCTGCTCCTAGCAATCGAAAATGGTCTGCGTGTGAACACCAAGGAGGAAGTCACCGCTCGTGAGCGGCCGATAATCAGCCATGAGCCAGCCCCTGTCCGCCGGACTACCACCCAAGAAGATGTGGCCTGCACAGCAATCATTGAGCGAGAGCCACGCTCTCTGAGGCGTCACCGGGTCATCGTCTACTCCTCTCCGCGGAGCTCTCCCAGCCGTGGGTCTCTGTATGAGGCCGACGCCGCTGACCGCATTGCGCGTGTCAACCGGTCCTCGCGCATCTACCGGCCGAGCGACTACTACCGCTGAGGGACATGAGCGGAGCTTCTGATGCATTCATTAAGGTTTCACGCATGCGCAATTGTGGAGATTCTGCGGTGCAGACAAGTCACCATTATTATCACCGACCCGGCCCCGTCGCAGCAAAGGCTAGACCAGCCTGCGACACTGGCACGAGCCAGACCCATACCCGATGGTAGCCAGCTTGTCTATGGGTCCTCGGGGATATTTATACCCCGCCTAGAGATTGGCTACATCCTTGTTGGAGGAACTGGATTCCTTGCTTACTGTTCTGTTACCGACCTGCTGTCTGATTCTATCCTATCCTGTTTGGGGTGAAGACGAGGAAACGAACGAAAGGAACAAAAACAGGCGAAAACACAAAAATCACCCACCAAAAAAAAGAAAGGCAGGCAAAGGAGGAATTTCCTTCACTGTTGAGCAACCAGGTTTCAATCTGCACACTGCAGCTCTGACTCACTCCTACTCCAAGTGGTCAACGGACACACCCACCATCTGATGGCTGCAGCTCACCTGCATGCAGTCCGTCCCCCGACCGATGATCCACCCGGATCATCCCCTTCCCCTCATTTGGTCTTTTTCATTTGGGACTCGAACGAGTTACACCCATTATTTCCTTTGTCTCTGCCATGATTCGTGCTTACGCGTCCAATAAGTGATGCTGTATTTTAATATTAAATTTAATCCAAACACTGCCAAGTGGTCTTTCTGCAAGTCTCACTCTTCTGCAACGTAGCCAACCAACTCTTAACTCCCGTTACTCTGCATGTGCATAGACAGCCTCATTTGTCTGCCTAGTGCCTAGCCATTTAGCCACATAATTTACTCCTCCTCTTCCTCCCCTGTACTATCATCCCTACTATACCCTCCCTCGGCACTGCGGCTCTATCCCTGTCCCCTCTTCCCCCCTTAGCAGCTAGCCAGCCAGCCAGCCAGCCTCTAACATTCATCCGCGCAAAGTTTATTTCCCATCGTGCATTTCCTTCCTTCCCTCTTACCACTTATACCCCGGTACACCGTACATGAACATACATTGCGAGTGAGTGAGTGAGTGAGTGAGTCATGCCAGTTAATCTACCCTATTGGCTCGACCTACTAGTAGACTCTGCGTTAATCCTTGTCCCAGATGCATACTACCTACCTACCTACCACTACTTCTTTAAACCTTTGGAATAACACTGCACATGAAACTCCCACCACAACACAAACAAATTCGATTTACAACATCATGTACTAAGCCAGGAGGCTGGTAAACTATTACCCATTTATTTAGTTTAATTAGTTACTAGGTATCGCACCGTTGAAATCCAACCCGCTACGTGGTTCCTCTGTCACTGTACCCTGTGGATCAGAGTCCCCACTGCGGGTACTCCACCGGCTCTGGACTCGACTCGAAGTCTGGGTACTCTGGGTACATGGTGGAGACGGTAGCTATACTTAGTGGGTATGTAGTGTATGCCACAGTGACAGCAAGTGAGTGTTTGACTGTACTGTGTAGTGGGTGGTAGAGGGTGGGTACTATGTACGTATACGTAGTGAGTAAGATGGTGGTGATGGTGGTGGTGGTACTTTTGCTTCCGGCCGGATCAGCGGGTGCTAGCCCGTGTGCTAGTATAGTAACTGTTGTGGATCATGTTGATACGGATGGGATGGGATGCTGTTCCTGTAGTTAGGTACTTCAAAGGTAGCGGTATGGGGCTGTTGGGCAGGTACTGCTACTATCTAGTTACTTTTACTAGTCAGTTAGTGAGAGCTTGCTGCGTCTGTGCTGTACGTAGCTAGCTAGCAACAACTACTAAATATAGTTGACATCGGCAGTTGAGATAGCTATTACCGGGGTGTGCTAATACCCTTTTCGGTTATTGTGGATAGTTTCAAGCCCAATATCTATTGATCATTGGTAGGTACTAATGTATATGTCTATCGGGGAAAGATAGAGATGGGGTAATTCTCCGAAGATAGTACTACTACCCACTATGGAGCTATAGCACGCCCGGGGTTAGGCTAGCTCATCATCATCAACATTGCTGGTTTGATTCTGAAACCTGGAACCTGGCTAGTTGGCTAGAGTGGAGATGTATCTGCTGTCGAGACTCTGGGCTGGTGAGATCGACGTCTGTAATCGGGTGATTTAGCTATGTTATCCATGGGGAGATGTCTGTGCGCGTCAGTCTAGAGTGGTCGGTGATGATCATAATAGTAGATGATAATGGACGGAATAGGTAGGTTGCTGAAGAATGGGAAATGTGATCCACTTGGATGCACGTATATTCTGTTGGAATACAATATGCGCATTTAGGACAGCAAGTACATGATCACACCATCGTGAGTGAGTTTGTAGTATGCTGTCAGACTGTCTGGACACTTACTTGTGGGTCAATAGTTGGAGAGGCGCTTGTGTTATACTTTATGCTGTGTAGTGGGTGGATAGAGAAGCCAGCAATGGTATCGAGGTAGCATTGAACATAGCATATGCGATGTGGCTGTTGACCTTGGGGACAGACGGACAGGTTCCGAGGTGAATTCAGGGCTGAACTATGTGACTGACCACTGTGGTAGCATGGGTAAAAGTACTGGGATTTCATAGATGCCCTAGGCAGCTAACAAGGAGCATCAGTGTAGTAGAATTCTTGAATGTTACGGCAAAGAGTCCCTCAGTAAGAAATGCGCTGAGACGCGGCAGAATATTACGAGTAGTGTTAGTCGACCCTTTTCATCAAGGCCATCCGTATTCACACAAATCCCATGCAAGTAAGTGACAGCCAAAAAGAAGGCCCCACAGCACAAGTACTAGTAGCGGATGCTTATGGATCTAAGAAAACCAACAATCGAAAAACAAAAAGAAAGCCCAACGCGGGGCTCGAACCCGCAGCCTTGAGATTAAGAGTCTCACGCTCTACCGATTGAGCTAGCCGGGCTAGTTCGGTGAAAGAGGCGTCTCTGATTTGATTTACAGCCCAGAGATCCAGTCATTGCTTTCCACACTCGGGTCCAGCTTTCCATTTCTCAAACATGTCCAGGTGATCTAGTTTGAATGTCAGTCGAGCCGGTGTGAACACACCATCATGGCTGCCGTCCCATCTCGTCCCCGCCATTGGCCAACTGGCATTCCACCAGATACTAGTATTCAAGTTGACCCTAAGTAGAGACGATATTGATTGCGCAAAAAAAAACAAAAAAAAACAGCAGTCTCCAAGTATACAGCTTACACCTAAGCACGTGCAGTCACATGACCCACCCCCAACTATAACCCACCACTAACCGACTATCCCCAATCAGGAAAACACCCCCATCACGTGCCCGCATCCCAAGCCAATCCTCCAAACTTCTCCGGCGCAACTCCGCAAGTCCCTCGACTCGACGCCCAGGCAATCCACCCCCTCAAGCTTAACCTCTCCCAAAAGCCCCTCAAAATGGCCAAGAAAGGTGCGTTAACACATTCCCCATGACTCTGCCCCTGCGCCGAATTCCCACAAAGCTCGACTGCACCGGCAGTAACACTGCGGATACCCACTGGATGATGGATGATAACTGACAAAGATGGCATCATACAGCCAAGTCGCGCACTATCACCGTGCGTCTCATCTCCATGGCCATGACCGGTTTCTATCGCACGATGATTCGTCCCCGTACGCACCGTCCGCTCAGTATGCTCAAGTACGACCCCGTCGTGAAGAAGAAGGTCCTGTTTTTGGAGGCTACGAAGGGTGGACGGAACAAATAGGCCACCTTACGTTCCGGATACTATTTTTTTTGTTTATTCGGTGGTTTCGTTTCGAATACCTGCACGGGTGGACGGTGTCCATATATCTTGCTGGGAGAGAGTGGGTGGTTAAGAGGCAACTTCTGACGATAGTTGCGCTTCGCTAAGCTTCGTCGGCTTCTTTTCTACGGTTAACCGCTACGAGTCGACTTGCGAGATACCGATACCAATACCGATACCGTATCTACCGGCTGGATTTGGGATGAGCCCTCACAGGATCTTTTTATCGATATGAGACGATCATGTATATTAGACGGTGCAGTGGCGAGGATGGTCGTGGAGGCTGGATCATAACGACAGGCTTCCGTGGACGTTCGAGTTGTGTATCTTTTTCGGTGTTATATTGTGGCGTTTAGAGCAAGACATTCTGGGTTGAATCAATATTCATTTATCAATTTATTTGCTTTGATGCATATGACATTTTTGGAAAGCTTCAGGCATTCTGTGTTGCGGAAATTGGGGATAGGAATATGTTCTTCTCACTTCTCGATATCACGCCGGATAAGTTAGCAAGTGCACGAATTGAAGAAAAGCTGGTACATAAAGTCATTCTTTCGCTTGACTACCGTCTGACGTATTCGTTCATGTGTCCCTCAGGCTCCTCGGCTGAAGCGAGCATTGTAATGATCACCTATTGGGTTAGTGTGCTTGATTCTACTTCTTATCCTGCTTCTTACCTCGTGTCTTTCGCCCTGTTCCCCTACCTCTAGCTGCTCGCTTTAGGTTGGTCCCCTGGCTGGCATTCATCGAAGAAGGCCTGCTGCTTCCGGAAGCAAGCTTCTTGGGGCTCGGCTTGCGCTCGAAGTACTCGCTGACGGGCTTTGTTTGTGGCTTCTGATCCATAGAAAGCTTTGCTCGTTTGTTTCCAGTGGAGCAAGATGCGGTGGCATGCGCAGCTCCATCAGCAATATCGTTACTGAGGGAACTGGTCGGCTGTTCCACAAGGCTTGCCAGTGGTCGAGACGCGGGTTGACGAGCCCTGGCATATGTGCGGCGATTTAAACGGACTGGTCTGTCCTCTATGGACTGGCTCCGCCACTGACTTGGACTGACATTGCTCCCGGCCGATAATTTACGTTTCTGCCCTGGTGATGTGGTACTCTGTGTCTCGAAAGTGACGCCCTTTGGTATGGTTGCTTTCCCTTTACTGCTGTACTTCGTTTCGATTGATTTCTCATCCTGCATGGGTTGAGGGTTTGGCTGAAGCACTTTGCTCTTGGCTGACATACTAGCCGTTTTCGTTCGCGGAAGTGTTTCTTCTTGTGCAGCGACGCTGGCTGCTCCTGTCGATTGGGCTTCATCAGGCTTGCTAACTGAATGGACCTCATTCGAAACCTGTTGCTCTGTTGTGAGAAGTAGCATAGCTGCAAGGTCATCCTGATCATTGCCGAAGACAGAACTATCTATTGGTGACCGTTGGCGGAAGCTTGAAAAAGGTACAATATTGGGGTTCTGCGCGGAGCAGAAAGGCTGTTTTGCGCCGTCGTTTTCTGCCGGGTTAGCTTTTGCTGGAAAGGGCGAAGAGATAATGCTTGCTTGAAAGCTTTCTGCTTTGTAGATCACTTCTGTAGCCTTGTAGACATCCTGTCCTAGAGTCGGACTTGGCGCCTTCGAGCCACCAACATCCTGGTTTTCACCAGAAGATGAGTTCAAGGAATTGCGGGCGGCCTCTCTGCTAATAACTGTGCGTAAAGTGGTTTCCAGGCTGCTCCATGCTTCCGAGGCTGGCTGATCAGGTGTGACAAAGCCCGCTTGACAAAGTGTTGCTTTCAATTTGTTCATCCACTTCTCGGAATTTTGGACCCTTCTGAGTAGTGATTTTATCTCTTCTCCCGCCTTCCCTTTGCTGCATTCGAGATCCGCCTTTTCGGACATTGTAGCTTTGAGCTGTGACTGGATGAGAACACACTCGTCTTCCTTTTCCTGCAACTCCTTGCAGAGCATGTCATGTTTGCCTTGAATATCCTCGATCGACTTTGATCCTTCTTTGCTGATTCTGGAGCATTCACCCTCAAGACTTGAAATCCGGTGAGCAGCTTCTTCAATCTGATGCTGAAGAGATGCCTGCTCCGCCGCGCTCGACGACACCAGCTCTCCAAGTCTTGCTGCTTCGTGCTTCTCCTCCTCTAGCTTGGATGTTATCTCAGATATGCCATTTTTGAGACCCTCATTCTCCTTTTCTCTGGACCCAAGCTATACCAGTCAGCATATTGACAGTAACAGAGTTCCATGCTTGCCTACCAGGAGTTCCAGTTCGTTCACTCGCTGCTTCACCTTGTCTTCGCGCTCTATCTTTTCTTGCATCAGTATTTTTCTGCCCCTCAATCGTGTTGGGTCTTACTAGATCTTGTCGTGTCTCAGCCAACTGCATGCACACCATGCCCAAATTCCTTTCAATCTCTGATTTCCCTCGTAAGAGTTCATGGATCTTCTGCTCGTATCTTGCTCGATCCTGTTCTCGGGAGACAACACTAGCTCTACTGAGCTCTTTACGAACCCTTGCCTCCACAGACTTGACCTCATCCTTCAGTGTTGCTACTTCCGCTTCGTACCTCCGGACGCGAGAATCATCGTCTTCCACCTTTGCTGAGGCAATTTCCAGCGATCCTCTCAATGCCTGATTTTCAAGATCCTTGTTTCTCAAGGCTTCCTCGGCCAACTTGGACTGTTCCGACAAACCTTGGATCTTTCTTTCCATTTCGGCAAGTGTCTGCTCAAACCCCTGAGTCTCTTCCTTTAAAATTTGTCTCTGGTCTGGTAGCTGCATCGCCGATAGACTGGCTTCCAGAGCTGTAAATTGATCGAGAAGACCGCTTTCTCTCGCCTCTAGCCCCTTCATTGAGACGTTTATGTCCTCATTGGCGGCCGCCAATTCTCGAAGCGCGTTTCGCAAACTCTCATTAGTTTCTGAATCTTCCGAGATTTTTGCCACTAGCTGATTTTCTCTGACAACTTGCTTCCCGATAATCTCAGTCTGTGCCTTCAGACTCTCGGACAGGCCTGCAGTTGCCTCGGTCCCCTTTGCGATACCAACATCCAGCTGGTGCATCGCCGAGTCCATGCTAGAGAGCCGTATTAGCTAACTGACAGGATTTTACCCTCGAATTATTGAGCTTACCGTGCTGCGAAGGAGTGGATAATGGCTGTGCATGCTGCTACGTCAGCCTTTCCTGACGAGATACCCTCCCACAATTCTCTGAGTGAGGCTAGACAGCCGCTGAAATCACAACTCAGACCCTCTTGGAGAGCCTTTATGGAAACAGCATGTTGATCGCCCAGAGTTTTCAAAGCAGCATCGAAACCTCCTCTGATCTCACGTTGATGAGACATAATCTTGTCCAATTTGGTGGACTGAGCTCTGGCACAATTTTGTATGTAGACTTCAAGAAGACTTGATCGTTTCTTCTCATCCGACAGCTGCGTCAAAAGGTAATTCGATCTTTCCTCGGCATCTTTCAGACTTTGCTTAAGCAGGTCGTTTTGGCTCTCCACCTTTGACACTTCACCCCGTTTATGTTCTGCGTCAGTTGAAATCTTAGCTAACTGTGCTTTCGCTTCTTTTATGCTGGCGCTTATCTCATTTCTCTCAATCACCAATTCTTTCCTTGTTCCTTTGAGCTGAATAGCCTCCCCGCGTAAATTTTGAAAGTCCCAGCCAAGTTCATTCAAGAAGCTTCTAAACTTCGCAAACTTCGACCTCCATGTTTCCATGCGGGACTTGTAGGCTTGGAGCTGAGATGATTGTTTCTGGATCTGCTGGCAAGATTCTTCCAGTTGGCCTTTCAGCATATTGTTTTCCTCTGCCGCCTTTGTAATCTTGGCCTCCATTTCCTCTTTCATCTTAGAGGCGACCATTGCACTTTTCTCGCGATCTCTGATCCGGTTGATTAGCAACTGGAATAGATCTTCTTCTGATAATTTGGGTTCTCCATCTTCAGAGCCACCAGTGGATGGGAGTCTGGCACTGAAGGTGCTTTTCTTGTTTAAACGGCGACGCTTTGTGATTCTTGATGTTTGATTTCTAGCAACCAACAAACTTTGCTCGGTCGCTTTGCTTTGATGTTCACCCGAGGTACTTGTGTTGGGTGCCTTGCTTCCATGCTCTGTCACCTCGTTTCTTTGGGTGTTCTGGTTTCTCGTTAGCAGGAAAGGGAGAGATTTGATTTGAATGCTACCTACCTTTCTGTGTTCCATGAAAGTGGTACATCTGCCTTGATTAACAGGTCAGTGACAATCACTTATTTAATTGTGCTGCACATACTGAGCGCTGCATCTTCTGAGGGGATTGCCCCTGTATCAGCGGACGAGCGTTGGCCAACTTGTGGCACAGAACTAGCTGCAGCATGCAAATCGTGCGAGTCATGCCCAGCATGCACCTTGCCCTGTGTTGTCTCTAGAGAGGTAGCCTCTGGTACTTGTGCTTCGAGAGATCCATTTTGTGAAACCAACTTAAAAGTACGTGTGCTGATAGTCGAGTTCGCTGGATACGAGGAACTGTACATTCAGTATGATGTTAGCATAGCACCACCTGTCAGACATATTACCTACCTTTCCTTCTCCATTCCTTTTTGAGTGACAAAGGATACAGCTTTGTCACCATCGAGATGATCATCAGCCCCAGGAGGCATGGTATTCAGTGAGGAGCGTTTTGCTGGCTGTAGGGAGAACAAATTTGGACCCTGAGTAGGCCTCTGGAAGCAAAAAGCTGTCATGTCAATACCAGAACTCTTGGGGCGTTCCATGAGTAGTGGGGAAACCTGTCTACTAGGCACGTGCCTCTCCTCCTCTGAGACCATAGTTGCTTCGAGCTCTGGCGGGAGGGGATCATTTTGATCTGCCAAATGCAAGAGTAGCAATTCTTCCACCTCGTCATAGGTAGTCCCATCGGCGAGATTCGTAATATCGGGACATACTATAGAATCCGTCTCGGACAGCGGCTCTTGCTCGTTCTGCATCTTGACGCGACTGAGAAGTTTGATTATCAGATCCTGGGTTTTCAGTGTATAGCAAGAGACGGGGGTATATATTAACACAGTGGATAAGAAAGTGACTAGCCTTGTGAAGATACGAGTTCCTGAGGGCGACAGCACAGAAGAACACAATATAAGTTGCTGTTTTCACGTCTGTACTCTTAGTATGCGCAGTCCACAATGCAGTCTCCCTCATATGGCCCGCAAGTCGTGTGAAGAGAGAGAAACGGGACAAGAAGTATCCTGAGTGACCAAGACAGATAACCCCTCGTGACTTGAATAGTGAAAATGCACAAACGGAAGCCAGTGGCTGCCGAATCGAGCATAATAATGTCCTGTTCTTATTTCTACCGAGGCTGAATTGTGACTACACAACATACTGATAAGTGTATACGTCACTGGTACTGTTACCTACTAACTACTAGCCATTGTGGTTTCAAGCTAAATAGCCATCTAACATCACTGTTTTTGCTACCCTGACCTCTATGAATTCCAGGATGTCAACCCTCGAAATTTGGATCGGTGTCAGGTCGACAGTTGTCCTACGAGGCCGACAAGGCACCTCACCGGGCCAATTATGGGCTGGAAAAGATGGCACTGCCATCTATTCCACACCTCAATTATCACTGCCATATAATGATACCCAACCTATGGCTCTGCCATTCCCTGGAAGATCAAAGTCACAAGATTTCTCTCCAGAGATATGACATTCTGCAGAGCTAAATTTGGTGATGTCGCATTCGCTTTTCTTGTAGCGCAGGTGTATGATTGTGATCATTCGTCCAAATGGTCCGACGCAGCCTCACTTGCGCCCGAGCAAATGCAGAACATCTGAAGACTTATGGAGCCATCGTGCATCGGCGGCCAAGCCACTTTTACAATTGGACACTTTTCAAAGTCTATGCAGAGTTGGTGGTTGCAGTTGGCGCCGGTATGCCACTAAGTCAACTTCCGTGTCTCCGATTTGACGTTTGCGTTTCACCCTCAAACCAGTGAAACTGCATGATCCCGGGCCTTCCCACACAGTCAAACACTCCAGCCCATCTTCAGGATTTAGGCTGTCACAGTTAAGCCTATCACAGAATAAGATGTCGTAGTGCTGCGTACACCAGCAGAATCTTCACAAATCGCGCACCCCTGGTGACCCCATCAACTCCCATATATGACATGCTGAGCGCTCTCGCCATGCCTGACTACTCTCACCTAATCTTTGATTTTCAAGTGTCAGTTATCGATCCAAAAAATCTCTCGGCGTATCTCACATTTTGTACCCCAAAAATGATCGGCGTCTCCATGTACTCAATACAGCCTTTGTGGTTGGTGTTATGTGTGCTATCATCACCAGCGGTCGCAGAAGGTATACTTAATAGTGTGGAAAGCCAGGACGGAGATGGAGAATCAGAGTCATCTTCAACGACGCAAAATGTTTCCTCTAAAGGAATGATTATTCTATGCACCATCGTGGCATTGGTGTTGGTTATCGGTGGTATGTCTCTGAGAATTGAAACAGAATCAAGAGTTGGTTAAGTGGTCGAACAGGCACTGACAATTCCGCTGTCATAGTACTATTCACCGTTGTGTTCATTACTGTAAAGAAGAGGAGCTTAAAGATACCAAAGACAGCCTCCTTACCAGATGAAGCAGTCACAGAGGCCACGGAAAGATCGTTGAGTGGCAATATACCGGCCGAAAGGGACGGATCTAGACCCAAATCTTTGAAACACGAAGAGATTCAGCCAGATGTAGAGAAGAATGCTGGCGTTGATCCAAGCCGACCGCACAGAAATGCATGGATAAAGCAAAGAGGATGGGGATCCTACTTTTCTTTCGGGCGCGCATAAAATCATCTCACAGCCACATCGCTTCGTTCAACTCGGATCTTCCGAGCGATCCAGTCAAGAGACATTGAATTGAGAGCAGCTCAGCGTGATGGCTTTCATTCCAGTTGTTGTACTTTTCATAATCTTTCTTGCCGTGCCATCATCCCCTCACCCCCCAACCCCTTGATGTACATTTGGAGGATACCCTGCACTCACTAAATCTGAAAGTGAGTCCTATATGGGGTAGAAGCTTGAGAATCAAGGAATGACAAGAATGATCACACCGATAGTGGATCCAGTCTGTCTGTAGGGGAGCATCAATGTCATGGAAAGCCTTGCCCAAACAATGTTGAGTGGGGACGCCCCGCGGTGTGTTGCAGAGGATCATCCAATCAGTCGCGCCAATTCCATGCTTCGTGGATGACGGCAAGTCTTTCCGTCTGGAGTGAGCAACTCCACCCGTCTTGGTTCTACACACTGTCTATCGAAGCATGAATCTCTCTCCGCTCCATCGCATAAACAACGCAGAAACTCAATTGCCGCCCATCTACAGAGGGGAAATATGGACTTCGAGATTGAAGAAGGAAATTTCTCCCATCGGCATGGCTGGACCCAGGACAATGTACTTAGAAGCCTCCAGAACATATAAGGCCTCTGGATCTCCCCCAGTAGGTTTCATTTCCTTCCAATTCAACAAAAGATCTTGTGAACATCTTATATTGAATTCTCGAAGCCAATCTCACTCTTCTTCTTTATTTACTTACGCACAGACTTTTATCTCACAATGCCTATTCAAAAGCTAAAAGTTGGTATGGCTGGTCTGGGCCGGATAGGCAAGGTCCATGTCCATAACTTCCTTCACCAAACCCCACGGGCCGAAGTTGTCGCAGCCTTCTCCCCCGACCCAGCTGAAATCACATGGGGCAGACAACACCTAGAGCCGTATGGAGTTACATTATATGACAACTACGACAAGATGCTGGAGCACCCCGGCTTGCAAGCAGTCGTCATCGGGACAGCAACCTCGGTACATGCCGAGGAGACAATGAAAGCTATCGACAGAGACCTACACGTTCTTTGTGAAAAGCCATTGTCAATTGATGTGGAAGTGGTATGTCTCAAATGTCTAATAATAAAAACTGGATCCCTAGCCGTAGATTCTCCTCCCACACTTGCATATGGCTAACTCCTTGGTAGTGCAGAGCAGTTGCGCAAAAGGCCAAGACTAAGCCACACTTGAAGGTGATGTGTGGCTTTTCTCGGAGATTCGATGACTCCTATCGCGAGGTCTACGATAAGATCAGCCAGGGCATGATCGGGCGTCCCTCCATCGTGAGAAGCCAGACCTGTGACAAGTACGACCCCTCGGGCTTCTACGTTGCTTACGCAGCGTGGTCGGGTGGTGTGTTTGTTGATATGTCTGTGCATGACATCGACTTGACTTTGTGGTTCATGGGGGAAGACTCGGTTCCTAAGAGCATCTCCGCCCATGGCATCACGGCTGTCCAGCCTGAGTTGAAGAAGTACAAGGACTACGACAACGCCGTCGGAATTGTCGAGTTCCATAATGGCAAGATCGCCTACTACTACTGCTCTCGAATGATGCCCCACGGACAAGAAGATACGACGGAGGTTATTGGCACCGAGGGGAAGCTGTCTGTTAACATCAACCCACAACGCAACTTCGTCAACTACTACCACAATGGAGGCATCACTCGCGAGGTCCCCGCGAATTTCCATGGGCGCTTCGGAGGTGCCTTTGTGAACGAGGCAAATGAATTCACTGCCTGTTGCTTGGATAACAAGCCACTGCCTCTCAAGTTGTCCAACGCCGTCAAGGCTGTTGAAATCGGCGCATACCTTCAGGAGGCGTTGGTGACAGGGAAGCAAATCCACTTCGATGAGATCGGTAGAAGGATTGAGAGGTCTCAATTGTAGGATGGACAGGGCATTCGGTCTGCTGCGAGCTTTGACTTTTATTTACTTATATTGGTCGATTTCAAATTATCCAAGGTGTTAGAGATACCTCGTACTGCTTCCTCACTCTGTATTGTACATGGTAGATTATTTTCGATTAAGCCGGGGAAAATGGCACTATTCCAAAAACGGCATCCCCGCATTCCGGGCCTTTTAACCAGGGAGATCATCGAATCATCGACTCATGACAACCAGCCCGTCCCAGCGCTTCCATGGTAATTAGTCTGCAACCGCGACCAACATGGTGTTTATCGCCGATGGTGTGACTAGCTCCACTGCGTCGTCAAAGGTCCCGACTCCCAGGGGCCGGGCGGGTTCCTGAGCGCGTCTGGCCAGGCTGCCACGCCAGCACAAGCTCCAATGACGAAATGCACGGCTGACGACGCCCACGATCGACGAGAGAGCTCCATCCAGCCAGCCAGGGGTGCCTTTTCTCCCCATTGAACTTCAGCACTGAACTCCGCTCCAACCCCACTCTCCGTTTCACTTCATCATCATCATCCCATTGCTGTCTTCCATGCTGGCGGTCAGTAAATTTCCCATTATATTTGACTACCTCCACGGCTGGATCTCCGGGACGTAGTTACTTCCAACATGTATCTAGACTTCACCAAGAGCCTCGGTATTGGCTCGCTCACTACCATGCTTCTCTCCGCATTTTCTCCACGAGAGCGAGCTCTTGTTGTTCATCAGCCAGCGCTACCTCCATCCTATCCGCTGGCTGTCCGGAGTCCCTATCTCTCGGCATGGATGCCCAGCGATCAGGTTCAGACATTGCCGTATGCGGAGCCTCAGTTCTGGGCGGGACAGAGTCTCACCTGGTCGGTTATGGCTCGCGTAGATGGCCAGGCGTACAGTTTGATGAGCGTCAAGAATCCGGGCGAGAACATCCGTCCTGCTATCGTTCGAAGCGCCGAGTATACTGCGACTCATTCGGTGTTTACTCTATCCGCTGGCTCAGTGTTTTTCACTTTGGATTTCTTCTCGCCCATATCGCCCTCAAACTATCTGCGACAGTCCCTCCCTTTCAGTAAGATATCGTGAACCCAGCATAGCTTATCGTATTTCAGTAACTGACCATTTGGTGGGAAAGGCTACTTGACCGTTTCTGTATCGGAGGGTTCTTCCAAGAACATCCAGATCTATTCCAGCATTGACGGAAGGTGGACGGGCAAGCCACAACAAACCACACGTGGTTTCCGCGAGATCGGCTCCACGGCTGTCTTTTCCTTGGGGTTGAAGAACGGCGTCCCTTACTCTGAAGTGGATGACATGGCCACTTGGGGCGAGGCGATATTCGCCTCTCGTCCGACTTCCGGGTCCAAACTCTCCTTCTCATCCGGTAAACGTGGTGATGTGCGTTCTCAGTTTGTCAGTACTGGCAGGCTGGTCGACAACCGCCAGTCATGGGCTCCAGGAGGGATTGTGGCGCTTTCGCACGATTTAGGAAGGGTTGACAGTGGAGAATCAGTGACATTTGCTGTTGGACATGTGCGCGAACAGTCCATTAATTACCTGGGCAAGCCATACACCGGTTATTACCGATCGCAGTACCCGGATAGCCACAACGCGGTCTCTTACTTCCTTGACGACTATGACGACGCTCTGCAGGAGTCCCGGGTGCTCGATACGGAGATGGCCAAGCAAGCCAAAGCAGCGGCTGGCCAGAAGTACGCCGATATCGTCACACTGTCGGCTCGCCAGGCGTACGGAGGGATAGAGGTGACCATTCCTAATGACACTCTGGACACCACCGATGTTCTGGCATTCATCAAAGAGCTTTCCAGCAATGGTAACCTCAACACAGTGGACGTTATCATGCCCGCCTTCCCAATTTACTACGTTCTGGACCCGGACTACATCCGCCTTCTGCTGGAACCGATGATGAGATACCTGGCTGCTGGCCGCTGGCAAAAGCCGTATGTGATTCACGACATGGGCAAGCATTACCCCAATGCCATCGGGCATGACAATCAGAAGGCCGAGCCAATGCCAATCGAGGAATGTGGAAATCTAATGGTACTGATCCTGGCCTACGTGCGAGCAACGGGTGACACCGAATGGGCCGCCCAGTACACTGACCTCCTGAGGGGCTATGCGGACTACTTGGTCGATAATGGTGTTGATATCACCAAGCAGCTGTCATCCAACGACGCGGCTGGTGCACTTGCCAATGAGACGAACCTTGCCATCAAGGCGGCCGTCGGTATCAAGGCATTCGGCGAACTAACGGGACTTTCCGAATACTCTGAAATCGGCGAAGCGCGCGCGGATCTGTTCTTCACCCAGGGCCGTGGAACAGACGGGAATAAGACACACTTCGTGCTGCAATACCCCGACAAGCCAGCCTCGTGGAAAATTCCATACAACCTCTACCCAGATGTACTACTTGATCTTCAGACCTTCCCCAAAGCGGCATACGAAATGGGAAATACCTTCTTCAAGTCTGTTCGAGCTGAATATGGGGTTCCGTTGGATAACCGGCAAGACTGGGCCAAGTCGGACTGGAACATGTGGTTGGCAGGCACATTTGACGCCGACACTCGGTCTGAGTTTGTGGATGATCTCTGGAGTTTCATGACCAACGGAAAACACAACTGGCCGTTCTCCGATCGGTACGTTGCCACATCCGCCAAGGGACGGAGCCCTGGGGTGCCTGTATTGTGCCGAGCTCGCCCAACAGTGGGTGGTCATTTTGCCCTGATGGCACTACAAGGGCCCAAATCTCTTCAGGCTGCTGTGTCGAGGCAGGTGTTTAGTGAAGGAGGCAACAAAGGAGGCAGTGGCAGCCAGGAGATTTTTTTGAACCAGGGAGAGAATCTGTAGACTAGGCAGAGACTCATTGTGTGTCGCAATATCAATTGTGAATATAGTATATATGATGCGGTAGATTAGAGGTAAACGGGTAATGTCCATCATCGCATGAATTAGCTGCTGTGCCAGTGCTGTCCGGTACTTTCCTGTTTGGGCCCGACTTGAAGTGTCACTTGGGCATTGTGTAGATTGGGCGAGATCTAGATAGATCGACCCTGTGGTGAATGAAGTCTAAGGAAACACCCGCTGCAGAGATTTCTCGAGTTACTCCGTAGAAGTCAACCCATTCACCTATCGGTGTTACTCCTGGTCCTAATTGGTTACTGCTACTTTTTCCTAGTGGTTGTGGGTGTTGTTGTTGTTGTCCCTTGCGCCCGTTTGCTGGAAAGCTGCCCCTGGGGCTTACATAATCGGGGAGGCATCACTTCGGCTGGCAGCGACTCTGAGTCTCTCTTTCGCCGTGTTCCAAACCGCCTCGTCGTGCTTGCTTCCTTCTTCCCCCCCAGTCGTCTTTCTTCGTCTTCTTCCTCTTCTGTCGCCCCGTCTCTTTTCCTTCTCCTTCTGTCTCATCATCAACTACTCTTGACCTTTTCTTTCTCGCTTTTCCGACCTCTACTTCCAGTCCCTACTCATGGCTTCTGTAAGTGCTCCCTCTCTGGTTTCTGCCCCCGTATAGCTAAGCTGTGATGTGATGGCTGTCCAACGTCATGGGCCACTCTGAAACCGCGCGTTGGCGATCCTCCAACGCGCTCAGATAAGATCTTGTCTTCCTCCGTGCTGACCTCATGCTCTTGTTTTCTCGTCTAGCCCCGTCCTCCACACAACTTCGGTCCTCAAGGCTATCCCCTCCCCAACGGTGCTGTTCCTTCTGGTCCCGTCCCCGGCGCCGCCCCTCTCCTTCCCAACAATGGTCGAATCATTCAGAATGGTCCCGTCAGAGTGCTGTGCATTGCGGACGTGCGAGGTATGTGTTCCGGATCTAGCTCCGGTAACGATCCCGGATTGGTAGACCCGATTGAGCTGATTTGGGAAATCTGTTTTGCTTTTTCCTCGGCGCAGGTAATCTGAAGTCCTTGAATGAGTTGGCCAGGCAGGCCCGTGCAGACCATATCATCCACACTGGTGACTTCGGTTTCTACGATGACACTTCGCTCGAGCGCATTGCAGACAAGTCAGTGACTTTCCCCGTCCCCCAATTCGTGAAGCTGCCTTCAGCCGCTAGAGAGCTTTCATGCATGATAAACATGTGACCCGATCGAAACTAACACCAATCTGCATCTCGACTATTAGGACTCTTAAGCACGTGGCCCAATACTCTCCCCTGCTCCCCGAGAATGTCAAGCGCACGATTGCCCAGACTCCTCCCCAGCAGTCGATCAAGCAACGATTCACCCCCGATCAGCTACCCCTCTCTGAGCTTCCCATGCTGCTCGACAAGCGGCTCACCCTCGATGTTCCTGTCTACACTGTCTGGGGTGCCTGCGAGGATGTTCGCGTGTTGGAGAAGTTCCGTTCGGGAGAGTACAAGGTTGACAAGCTGCACATCATCGATGAAGCCAACTCGCGGCTACTCGACATTGGCGGTGTGAAGCTCCGTCTCCTGGGTCTGGGAGGAGCTGTGGTTATGCACAAGCTGTTCGACAATGGCGAGGGCAAGACTACTATTGCTGGTGGTCAAGGCACCATGTGGACAACCCTGCTGCAAATGGGAGAGCTGATTGACACAGCAAACCGTGTATACGACCCCTCAGAGACCCGGATCTTCGTCACGCACGCGTCGCCGGCTCGTGAGGGCATGCTGAACCAGCTGTCGGTCACGCTCAAGGCCGATTTCTCCGTCTCCGCTGGCTTGCACTTCCGTTACGGCTCGTCCTACAACGAATTCTCCGTCAACCCCTCCCTTGACCACTACCGGGGCAAGCTTGCCGCTTCCAAGGCTTCCTTCAATGATGTGTGGGAGACTGTCCGCGGCGAGGTCGAGGCCGCCATTTCGCAGAACGAGGCTCAGAAGACTTTGCTCGACAATGCCCTGGAGGTGGTCACCAAGATGCCTACCGTTGCCAACGGTGGCAACCCGTTCGGTGGACCTGCTGCCCCCGGCAACGCAGCTGGCCAGGTCGACGAAAGCGCCTTCAAGAACATGTGGAACTTCAACTTGGCGGACGCAGCATTCGGCTTCTTGGTGCTTGAGATCGAGTCGGGCCGCATCGCTACCGAAATGCGCGCTCAAGGATTCAACTTTGCCCACCGTACTGGCAAGCCCCAGCCCGCTGGCCCAGCCCAGCCCGCTCCCGTCCCCGCTGGCGCCCCCGCTGGAATTGCCTCGCCTCGCGTTCCCGGAGCTGCTCCCCAATTCGGTCAGGCCCAACCTGTTCCCGCCCGCACGGGTCCCCTTCCCCAACAGCAGGCCCCGGCTCAGGCCAAGGCTCCCGCCGCCGCTCCCGCTCGTACATCCCCCGTTCCCGTGATCCCTAAGCCTGCTACACCTCAGCCTGCCGCCGCCGCCGCCGCTGCTGCGCAGCCCGCCGTGACGTCCCCGGAGAGAACCACGACCACCGAGGCCAATGGTACCGCTCAGCCTGAGAAGCCCTCCGAATCCCCGCTGCCTAAGATTGAGAAGAAGCAGAGCAACGGCCTCTTCGTCTCGAACGTTGAGAATGAACAAGCTGTGCGTGATCTCTTCCCCGAGGAAGACAAGGCCAAGATCACAAAGGTTGAGAAGTGGGGCAAATACAACAACCATGTCGTCCACTTCGCGACTGTCGAGGAGGCCAAGGCTGCTCTCGATCGCCAGCCTGCCGAGCACAAGAAGCCTACCCCTGCCGGTCAGCCCCGTAAGCCCAACATCAAGTTCTTCGAAGACCGAGGCAGCCACCGCGGCAATGCCGGTACGTGGCAGAGCAGCAACCGTGGTGCCAACGCCCCCCAGCGCGGGTACCAGAGCGGAGGTGCCAGTGACAGCGAGACTAACCGCGGACGTGGATTCCGTGGCCGAGGTGGTGCTAGCCGCGGCGACCGGGGCGGACGGGGCGGCCGTGGTGGTCGCGGTGGGTTCAACAAGGGAGGCGCTCCGACTTCAGACTCGGGACCAGGCGACAAGCCCGCTGCGACTGGAGGCGACGCTTGATATGTGTGATTGCGCCTGATTCCCCGTTCTGAATTCATGTCCACCTTTGTTTCTCCAATTCCCCCATTCTATCTTTCTTTCCGAAAGTGTTATTTTCTACCCTCAGCCATCTCTTCTTCCTGTCCAATGTTTTCATTAATTTCACGCTTTTCGATCGGTATTTTAATTTTCTATTGTTGTGATACTTGCCAAGTGACGTCTTTTTCTCTTTTCACCTTGTTCTTGTCCTTTTTCAGCGAGATGTGCGTCAAACTTCTTTTCCCATTCATCTTCCTCTTTCCTAGTAGACACTTCGCGCTGGCGACGGGATGAATCGGTTTACTTTAACTGCTCAATTCCATTTCCCACTCGGATCTTTAGGACCCCAGGAGTCGTTGGTGCGGATCCGAAGGCAGAAGCAGAGGCGGAGACAGAGAGACACAAGCGGAGAAGAGGTGGGTGTGTATGTGTGCTATCGAACTTGGTATGATATTATGGTCTTTGATTTTGTTGGGTGGCCGCGGGAAACGGGAATACAAAAAGCGAAGGGATATTTATCTTGAGGTTACTTTGCAAAAAATGGAAAAAAGAAGAAACAAAACCACAAAACGGTCAACGGCGAGGATTCTTTTGTATTCTATATTCTCCTGGAACGTACCAATATCGATACCCTTGTAACTTCATGCGGTTTGTCTGTACTACATACTAAGTAGCGTTCTATCATCTGGTCATGTCCTACAAGTACTAAGTAGTGATAGTAGACTCAGCTTGGGTTTGTTGGCAGGTAATACTACAGCTACTTATCGCGAAGGGTACTTGTCCTGGACAATATGACTTATAATCCTTAGTACTTAGTTCTCAGTTTCGTGACCACAACCTGGCAAATGAACTATATCGTAAAGTTTAGAGATAAGTAATAATATATATATTCTAGCAATCTGAAAGGAGGTCAACCATCGTACAGTATCAGACGAGCTGAGAAATGTTTGATTGACCAGTGATTATATATATATATAATACTAGTAGTCTGCAGACTATCCATTACCATCATAATACTGCATGTTGAACTTTACCGTAACGGGGGGCTATTGAGTTCAGTTCTCTCCTCTCAGACTACTAACTACTTACTTACTACTACTACTTACAATGGGTGAGTGCTGTCAGGATATATTTTCCGGGCGGGTGCGGCGGTCAGGTACCACATAACATACTACTACATCATCATACTAAAGACGGTTTGAAAGGGACACTTAGTACTTACTATCACGACTAATAAGTATGACTGCAATTGCAACACATGATGGATAGTTGAAGGATCAATGAGGGCATCAATGACTAGTATGAAAGAATAGTATCGGAGAGGAGAGAACTGGCGTCTTATTACTTCATGGCTATACAGAGATACTACCTCACCCAGAGACATACGCCGATTACCCCCAAATAGACATGAACAACCCTTTCGCATATTTCTAAGGGCATGTAGGTAGGTAGGTAGACAGATAGATTGACCAAGCAACATATCACTCGAAATCCGCCAGCCACCCAGCTTTTTGAGTACATGTGGTGTGGTGGGCTGAAAGATCAAGAACCAGCGGTGCATATACATAGGAACAAGCACGCAACCCAAGTGTTAAGATAACATGAACGAAAGAATACTCCAACGGTGATGGTGTACAGTCTGCCAAACCGAAGCTTCCTATATTGCATTAAAATTTTCCTGTGCATACCACGCCTCCTGTTCGCCTGCAGTGGTCTTCGTGAAAGAAAGAAGAAGATAGTAGAGAAAGTACAGTCATAAAAGTAGATGGAGAAATGTAATATGTGTTGGGGAGGTTATTGCTTTGCTCCAAAAGTCTTCCCATGAGAATTTGTCCAATCGAAGATTGCGGTAAATAACCTGGAGTACTCCGTGATTTTTCACTTTGGGTTCGCGTGAAAAACCTCCCATATCCAATATCACCTTTTGTCGTAACGGCGTCAACAACAGCTTTGCATTACATGTATGGGTATCTGAAACGCAGAATGATGGCAACGAGGGCAGTATGCGGCGGGCAGCGCAGGTGCGGACTAACTTATTGTTTCCCCTCGCTTGACTATTTCGCCCGCCCCATGATGTCGTCAACATCTTGCTGGTTGACGACCACACCGCCCTCCGAACACCGCGCCTTCATGCGTAGTTCGGAGCAAAGATGATCGACGTCGAGCTCTCCGTTGCGGAATCTCTCCATGGATTGCAGACGATCCCTTGAAGAAGATGTTAGTACAAATGTAATTATTGGGGAGTCCAACAGGATAATCATACCATATCTTCGTGCAACTCAGCATCTGAGACTTATCTTCTCCAGGCACAACCTCTTCATCCAACTTGCTGTCGATCTCTGCGATCAAGTCCTTCTTCGGTGGTTGTTGGGTGGCCGCTTCCGTGAGGTTGTGTGAAGGGCTTCCCAGATCGGGCAGGGGGAAGGCATCGTCAAAGAATGTTCCAAAGTCCTGAGACAGGATTGCGTCCTGAGGCTCACGCCAGTCTCCGAAGAGAACGGGATCGAACTGGCCGCCGTTCTGCTGAGCGAGTGTATCCAGACCCGCAACATCCTCGCGGGGTGCCTCCTGATTAGGGGTATTTGACGCGCTTTGGCTGTTATGCCGGACGGCTGGAATGGGGTTATTGATATTGCCACATGCCATGCCAAGTTGCGCGCAGAAGGATTCCTCACCATCGATGGTGGTATAAGTGCAGCCATCATGAGCACCGTGGTGATGATGAGCCTTAGTAGCAGGAGAATTAATAGTGGGTTCCGGGGATGTGCCGTTGGACGAAAGACTCTGGCTCTGGTGGGAATCGGACGAGGAGGATGGCGAGTCAGTCGTAGAGGAATCATGCGTAGAGGTGGATTGAGCCGTGCCGTTGTATAAGGAGACCTTCGGAGTGGACTTCCTTGTGGACGCAGGAGTGGAACCCTGGTGGGACACGGAGCTGGGAGTCCTGCCCGCGGGCGCACCGTTGGACTGAGCACTGCTCAGAGAGTTACGGCTCACAACACCTGGCACACGGGAGTCATTACGCGACGTTGCTGTTGATGGCTCTCCTTTAGCACTCTGCTGCGCCTTGGACAATTGGCCGTTATTGAAAATGTGGGAGCCCGGAAGATCCCCGAATTTGGGGAAGTCAAACATGAAATCATTGTTCTGAAGGCCATACGATCCCTTGTTGGGATAGGCTCCGGGGATGGCATTCATGGCAGAGACACCAGTTCCCGTGGTCAGCCAGGAGAGACGCTTGCGATACTCTCTCAATTCGACTTGCAGGCGGTCGATTTGAGCACGGAGCAACCCATTTTCCTGGTTCGCGTTGTCAGAAGCCTTTTGCAGCTCATCTACCTTCGTTTCCAGATCCTTCAAGTGTTTCTCCTTGCGTTCACGGAACGCTCGCTGCGCAGCCCGGTTCTGTGCCTTCCGCTTCTGCGAGTTTGTTAGTGTCACGAGACTCTCGGCGCCCACATCGCGATAACCGAGCATACGTACTGAGGTTGGCTCGGAAGTCAAGGGCTTCCTTCCTGGCTTCTTTGCTGCCTTTTCATCGCTTTCTCTTCGCTTCTTGCCGGAAGCTTCATTCTCATCCGCATCGCCATCGATGTCCTTCCTCTTCTCTCCCGGCTCGGGTTCCTCCGATTGCGGCAGGCTCTCGGGAAGATCACCAATCAAGTTCTCGGAGCCTTGAAAGTCAAAGTCCAGTTCGGGGTTGAAGTCCAGGAAGGGACTTTCATCATCGCCATAACCCAGACCACCCGAGTGAGGGTTAGAGGGGTCGAACGCCGGACTCATATTGTAACTACCTGTGGTCGCAGGGGTAGACTCGGGGTCTGACTTGGAAGCCGGGGGGTGGGAATTATTCTGCTGTTTGGCGGGCGGATTGTTGGAGGAAAGAGCAGCCAGGAGGAGATCTTGCTGATCTGGCGACAGGTAAAGACCGTGCTGATAGAGGGAATTGTAGTCGGCCATTGTATTCAGAATATCGCTGTCGATAGTGATGATCCGAGCGGGAAGGTGTTGAAACTGTGGGGGGGTGTCAAGTGTTGCTCAACAAAAGTGATCTCCAAGTAATAGTAGATTCGATGAGAAGCAGGCCGGGCTTCCCGCCCGTTTGTTGTATCGATAGGTGGCCCCCAGAGAAGGGTCGGGGAGGAGGGGTCCCGGTACGATGACACCGGCAGAGACCAGAGGAGGGGCACGAGATTATTTTTTCGAAGACTGAAACAAACAACCAACAGCTGTCACGTCACCGTGAACTGCAAGTAGAGTTGTTGGGGGAAGCAATCTGAGTCTGGAAGTCTCTAGAAGGTGTTGGGGAGACGGAGTGTTGCGGGAGAAGTGAGATTCGGAAGACAGATGAAGTTGAGGATGACAATGCGTGAAGGAGAGGCGCAAGGCAGGCGAGACGCACAAGCCGCAAAGAGGTCTGTCTGACGAGCCAAAACGGGGCTAAGGAGAGGCAGACCAAAGACGAATCACAGGTCGTGAAAGAGGGCGAGAGGGCCGGAGGGGAGAGGGGCTGGTAAGTGAAAGGAAGATGGGAAGAGGAGGATGATGCAAGATGGATGAGAGGTAGGGGGATGCAGTAGGGCGAAAGAATGCGAGACCCGTCGTTAAGGGTCTAGCCGAATGGAACGAAATTGTGGCACCGGGTAGGGGGGGGAAAGATTGGTTCTTGATGCGGGTTGGAAGAAAGGAAGAGGGGGAGAGAGAGAGCATGAGAAGAGGAGAAGAAAGAGGAGGCCGTGGATGGAACAAGACAAGCGTAGTAGTGAGTAGTACTAAGAAAGAGGCAGATGGAATGGAATCTTCGACTGAACTAAGAGGGGGGGCGATGGCCTCGAGGGGCGGTGGATAGAATGGAAGATGATGATTGGTTACAGAACCCTGCAGAAGGCAAAAAGTGTAGCCTGAGGTGTTCTGCCGGTGCAAACCTCAGGCTGCAAGTGGGGAAGCCAGTGACTCCTGCTTAGAAATCCAACCCGAAAAGCCTCTGCGGTTTTTCTCTCTTCGCCCATTTGCTTCTTTACCACTTCGGCATTGCTTGGTTCCTTGGTTGGTCACCTCTTTACAATCATCGAACCTGACGATGGATTTGACTCTCGCAACACTCTTCAGCCTGAAACTGGTACGAGGCACTAGTATTTAGTCTCTGCCTCCTATCTAGCTAGTCTATCTACGCCATCGCTAGATAGGTAGATGTCTGCCCCCCTCCCTGGCAAAACCGGGACCATCCTTTGTCTGGACGATGCTACTCCGTACTAAACGAACCGATCGACTGTCTCACCCAAGAAAAGTGACTCATGGGGCGCCACTTTTCTCGGACGCGGACACGGGTTCTTTCGTTCGCCCTCACCTCACCGCCCCCCAGCTTCAGTGTTAAGACCAGACAGACCCTCCGACTTTCGGTGCTCATGCTGATGCCTATCACTCTGCGATCTCGGATGCCTCGGGAAGGATTACTGTATTCCAAATAGTAGCCCGTCAACCGCGTGTTTCTCCATATGAGTATTGTAGCAGCTAGGAATTGTCTCGAGTGCACCTCGTAAGCCGGGGATAACCTAGATTATTTGGCCAGAGCTCCCCTACTCTCGGTCGAATGCATGGCCAACCCCGACCGATCACAACCGGGGCAAGCGGTGTGAAACCCACTAGGGATCTGGATCTCCGATGCTTAAGGTTTAGCCTATGGCAACGAGTAGTCTGCCACGGCTGACGAGTCCTAAGATTGGATGGCCATTGATCTCCCCGCCCTGTTTTGACTGCTGGACTGCCGCTGCCGCTGCCCCATCAGTATCAACTATTGCTGTAGCCTGTAGCCTGTAGCATGTGGCATGTGGCATGTAGCCTGATAACGCGGTTGGACGGACACCTGGCAGATCTCGGGCCAATTATCACCCCCATCGGTTGGCCTTTGTTCCGCAGCCGAATGACGTGAGGATCGACTGTGGAAGCGGACACCAACCAGGTGTTGACCCGTTGACCCGTAGCTTAGATAGTGGATGCGGGCGTGGCCTGAGATCGGAGCTTTTCTGGACTTCGGCGGCCTGTCTTTAATGTAACCGTGGGGAAGTCGAACCGGGACTAGATAGTGACCGGCCCAAGCCTGAAGTTGCAGTAATTATTGCTACTTTGCCATAAGCGTCAGTAACCCAGAACGTCCACTAGTGAGTTAGTGTGAATGGTACTTTGTAGCAGCAGAAGCGAGCGAACGCAGATAACGGATAAGTTAAACATGTGACTTGCGCCCATGCATCTGTGGCGGTGCCAATGCACGTGATAGTCACGAGCCGCAACGGGGCCCCCGCCACAGCTCAGTCTTATCCCCAAAGGCGACTTCTCTTATCTGCAAAACCTCAGATTTGCTCCAGCCCGACCGCCACTCCACCCCAACGACTGCCATCATCCTGCGCACTCGCCATTCTTTCATCCTTTGGTTTCCCGCAGGACTTAATTACCTTCTCTCTTTACAGCTTTTAATAACACAACAATGTCGGACGTCGCTGCCCTGGAGGCAGAAGTCAAGGAGTTCAAGCTCCAGGTACGCGCCTACATAGCCATCACCGTCCGTCCGTGACTAACCGTCACGCTCCCAGCTTGAAACCGTCCAATCGAGTTTGCAGGTAGACCCAGACAATACAGAATTGCAGAGTCTCAAAACTGAGCTGGAAGAACTTATAAACCTCACCGAAACATCCATTGCCGAACTCAAACCTCCCGCGCCTCCCGTGTCCCAGCCGCCGGCGTCCGCGGCCAAGGACAACCGGGCCAAGGATTCTTACGCATCTCAGCCAACATACCGCAAACCGACGGTTGAACAAACGGACGAACCGTCAATTCAGACCTCCTTTTCCGTCAACGAGCACGTTCTCGCCCGGTGGGTGTCGGGCGACAACTCGTTCTACCCAGCGCGTATCACCTCCATCACCGGCTCTGCGAGCAACCCCGTGTATCTCGTCTCATTCAAGTCCTATGGGACGGTGGAAAATCTAACCTCCAAAGACATCAGGCCCATCTCCGGCAATGACTCGCGAAAGCGCAAGGCTGATGCAAGCTCAGGCAACTCCTCATCACAATCTCCGGCGCCGCCGCCGCCCCACTCAAGCGTGATCTCCGCCGCCGCGGACATTAATCCCGCGTTGGCAAACCAGGCGCGTAAAGAGCCGAGTAAGGTGAGCGATGGGCCGGCGCGCCCGGCCAAGGTGCCCCGGAAGGTGAAGGCTACGCGGGAGCTCGAGGCGGGCAAGATGAAGTGGAAGGATTTTGCCAGCAAGGGTAAATTGGGTCGCAAGGAGAGCATGTTCCGCACGGGCGATGGAGTAAATGCCCGAGGTGAGTGGACCCTTCCGCTAGACCACCCGCGACTGGAGACTGACTGCAATAGTGGGCTTTACTGGCTCTGGCCAGCAGATGCGCAAAGACCCTGGACGTTCACGACACGTCTACCAGCAGGGTGAAGAGGAAGGCTACTAGCAGGACTAATGATGGATGGGCTTCACTTTGTTATTCTTCTGTCCCTACCGTGTGTCACATCGCTAACGGGCTATGGTGTCAGATCTAGTGAAGCGAGCCAGTCGTACATACTATAAAAATTTGATATCCAGACGCATCATCGTTAATGATGTGATGCGACATTGTAGTAATTTATGTTCATGTCTACTTTTGGATCACTGTTCTTGTAGCGTGCCATCTAGCTGGAAACCCTGACGATGATCAACTGCCACTCGCCCAGCTACATTTAGAGTGACACCACGGAATTGTCATCCGTATTATGCCAGTGCTATTATAACGCTCTTTTGCTTTCCTCGATCACTTGGAAGTCGGTTTCAACCAGGATTCTGCCTTCTTCACTCTCATCTTCCCTGCGCATAGAGTCCATCTCAACTCGAACAGTCTGTGTTGCAAGCAGACTTTCGTCCCAATCCCTGGGCCTCCTCATGGGAGGATCCTTATTTTGACCGGAAAGTTTATTCTCCGAGCTACCCAGATACCTTCCCACACGCGAGCCGAATATCCTTTGAATGGTATACCGCAGCAGGGGTTGCAAGGTAGGCAGACAGGCACAGACAATTCCGATGCACGGCTCCACACTGGACCAGATGAAGACATTACCCATGATCCAGGTGATATCCACGGACCTGCTAAGAAACGTCATGTAATAAATTCGAATGAGACTCGCCACGCAGACACTGCACATAACGTTTTTGTATCAGTTATCAGACAGAATGAGACATGGGAACGGAAAGGCGGGGTTCAGCACGACATACAAGCTGCCAAGTAGAAAAATGCTGCAAACCAAAACCTTCTGGGCGGTTCGCATTTGGAGCCTCCAGATAAGTGGCATGGGCACCAGCAGAATGATCACGTCCGTGGTCACATTTGCAGCGGCGTTCCCAATATAGAATGGATAAAGATTGTAGACGCAACGGCCGCCAGCGGGATCAGCATACTGCGTCCAATAGTATGAGACAGGTCGGCAACAGACGAGGAAGGCGACGGTGCAAGAAAACCGATATCCGATGGTCAATGCGACGCAGAACCACATCGCCTTGTTCATTCCGAAAACGCGACGGTAGAAGAGGATGACCGAGAGCTTGATCAAGGGCACGGTAACGACGTATATGAGGACATATGCGAACAGAATCTGCACCACCTTGATCACATCGTCTAGGGGTATAGCCCATACATGCTTTCCAAGGCCATAATAGCCTCCTGAAGATGGCTGGTCAGTACGCTTTCTTGGTGTTTGATCTGGCGAACGAACCGATAATGGTGGAGACGAAATTCGCAGTCACAGACAGCTGCAGCCAATATGATCATCAGTATATCCATGTCGTGACTGAGGAATGGTCACAAGTACGTACCAAAGCAGCAACTATCATCCAATCATCCGCGGCAATGGAAGCTTGTTGCACCCGCGTTCTCGCGAGAAATCGAAAGGCAATGGCGATGGCCGCCAGCACGTATGTGACACTAACAGCTGCATTGTTCACTCCACGCCGGCTGGCTGTCAAGTCCGTCCCTGGAGGAGGATCCCCGAAGACGCTGCTGGACATGCCTGTTGCCACTTGCAGAGGAAGACATATCGAGTGGACTGGAATGTACCACCGGGCCCTTAAGATAGAAACCAGTTTTGACACGACCCTGTTCAACAATAGGCCGCAATGCATCTAGTGAGTCAAACCGGTCAATCACTTTCAAGTCTTTGGGCGTGGCACGCCGCTAGGATACTCTAGCGATCCTTCCAGCCCCTTTCCTGACAGCCCCGGCCCCCAAACCAGGCGGGCCGGCGGGTCCGTGTCTTTGACAGCGGGTGGCTTTACTCCCGGTGCCCTTGCCATCTTGAAGGCTCAATCCAGCTGTTTTGAACGTTAAATTCCTGCGAGATTGAGCGTCTGACAGGTCCGGGATCCCACCGCCAACACAATTCTCTTTCAATAACGGTCCGCGTCGTACTGTATTGGTAGACTCGCTGAATGGATTTTGCGCTAATTTATCATTCTGCGAATCAATTGGGCCTGTAGACTTACCCGTTAGGGTAACCACTAACTTAGACCGGCCGTTTAGTTCATGATACTATAAGGCTACGGCCGGGGGAAAGCCGGAAACCAAAGGACTGCGAGGATAACATATAATTAGTAAGGGTATCCCCTGTTTCGAAATCTTGGCTACTGCGAGGGCGAACCTGCGTGTCTGCAACTCCTGTCGCAAGATTGAGGATTTCTTTACCATCACCATGCCATCCAGAGAGTCCGTCCCTTCTGAATCCACAGCATATGCTGTAGATCCCAAGCGGTTTGCTTTCACTCCCCGAAAACTCAGAGTCGTCTGCATTGGAGCGGGCTTTTCGGGATTGATCCTTGCACACAAGCTCAAGCACGAGCAGCCTCTTGAGTTTGTTGACTTCGCCATCTATGAAAAGAATCCCGAGGTAGGGGGTACTTGGTTCGAAAACATCTACCCTGGTGTAGGCTGCGACGTGCCTGCTCACAGTTATGTGTTTCCTTTCGAGCCCAATCCGTTCTGGTCCCAATGCTATGCCAAGGGCCCGGAAATAGAGGAATACATCCGATCGACAACTGAAAAGTACGGACTGAAAGAGAAGATCATCTTCAACACTCGACTTGTCAAGTCTGTTTGGAACGAAGAACGTGGTAAATGGGGCCTTGAGCTCAACCAGAACGACACAATTGTCTACGATGAAGCAGATATTCTCATCAATGCCGGAGGCGTCCTCAATCGGTGGAAGATGCCTAAGATTGAAGGTCTGAACCGGTTTGAGGGCAAGGTCCTCCATACAGCGGGCTGGGATCCGGCCTACGACTGGTCCGGCAAGAAGATCGCTGTCATTGGTAATGGCTCCTCGGGGATCCAGATTGTGCCTGCGCTGCAGCCCAAGGCAGGCCGGGTCGTCAACTACATCCGCCATCCAACATGGGTGTCGGTCAATTTGTGCCCGGACACGACCAGGGATGGAATGGGTACAAACTTTGTATACACCGAAGAAGAAAAGGCTCGATTTCGGGATGACCCTGAGGGTTTTCTGGAATACAGGAAGTTTATCGAGCGCTCGTACGTTGAACGCCACCCGCTGAGGTGATCTACTAATAACAACATCGCAGAGTCAATACCGTCTACAAGCTGATGCTCAAGGGATCTGAGTACAATAATATGCTATACACAGCCACAGAACAATTGATGAGACAGCGTCTTAGCAAGAACCCACACCTAATCAAGAAGCTCATCCCCGACACTGCTATCGGATGTCGTCGTCTTAGCCCCGGAGACGGATATCTAGAAGTCATGCAGGAGTCCAACGCGGAGTGGTGCTTTGATCCCATTGAGAGCATCACCAAGACTGGCATCCAGACCGCCCAAGGTGAGGAGGAATTCGACCTCATTGTCTGCGCCACAGGTTTCGACACCACCTTCATCCCTGGCTGGGAGATGGTAGGTCGTAATGGTCGTCAGCTCGCTCACGACTGGAAGACGACACCCGAGGCATATTTCTCCATCTGCTGTCCTGGCAGTCCCAACTATTTCATGTTCGCCGGGCCTAACTGCCCTATTGGTCATGGAAGCGTCCCTCAAATGCTAGCCTGGACTGCGGACTACATTCTGCAGTGGGTGAAGAAGATTGCCCGCGAAGATATTCAGTGAGATCAGACCTTACCTATGATGAGACGTTCTCAATCACTAACAATGTCTAGCTCCGTTGTCGTGACCGACTCCGCAAACCAGCTGTATAACCGCCATGTCCAGGCAAACCTGAAACATACCGTCTGGAGCTCAGGCTGCACTGCCTGGTACATCAATGGCTCGACTGTCACGGCCATGTATCCTGGCAGTGTTCTTCACTTCAAAAGTAACCCAGCATTGACCTCTACCCTAGGAATTCCATCAAGTGTGCTAACACGTATGATAATTGCAGAGGCCATCTCTACCATCCGCGGCGAAGACTTTGATATCCGCCACCAAAACAACGCTAATCCCTTTGCCTATCTTTCTAATGGTGAGCTGGAGTGGGAGAGAGCAGAAGGGGCGGATTTGGCGTTTTATTTGAAATAGGCCTGTATTGGGTGGACTACTTAGTAACATCATGTATATCAATGAATGATGAGACTGGAAATGGTATTTCAGGGGTAACCCTATCCTAATATACTAGTGGCCTATTGAGGAAGTTCCATAAAGTATGATGAATACTCAGTCGACACGGCCTATTCTCACTAGTTGTACCGCACCCCTGCCCTTTGACCCTGACATCCACCACAACCGCAGCTATAGGGTCTATAATTAGACTGAGTGTTATCTCTTTTCTTCGCTTCTTATACTCCAGAATCAGTTATAGAGATCCTGCAATATCATGCGTCTAAACTCCGGTACTCAGAAAACCCTAATCTGGTATGGAGCAAGTTTTGCTACAAGATACATTGATACTTCGAACCAATCAAACTTTACTCCTGAAGCTCCGCTACCCGCCCACGCCCTATACTTGACAAGCACTTACACTTAGTATCAGTTTTGGCACGGTTGAATTCGGTCCGTTACTCTATACTCTTGACAAGTATATTCCTAAACTTTCTTCTTCTACACACCGTACTGCACAGATACCAGACTCGCTCATAATCCCTGCACCACTCGTTCTATCCTATTACCATATCCCGCGTCTCCTACACTGAAACAAACTACCTCACACCACCCCCAACATGCGTCTCGGCTTCCTTGGCCTCGGCGTGATGGGCACTCCCATGGCGATAAACCTATCAAAACACTACCCCCTAACAGCCTGGAACCGCAGCGCCAGCAAATTCCACGCTCTCAAGACCTCCAGCCCAACCGCCCGCTTCGCACCCACCCCAACAGCCGTAGCCCTTAACTCCGAAATAATCTTCACCATGCTGTTCAACGCTGCCGCAATCGACTCCATCCTCACCACCTCCTTCCTCTCCAGCCTCAGAGACAAAATCCTCATCAACACCAGCTCCATCCCCGTCTCATACAGCCAACACCTCTCGACCATCATCCACTCCGCCGGCGGAGAATACATCGAAATGCCCGTCAGCGGGAGCAAAGTGCCCGCGGAGCAAGGACAGCTCGTTGTCATGATAGCGGGGGATCCTGATGTCGTGGAGGAGATAGTGAAG